CACAGTGACTGCAACAATGGATTTACATTTAGCAAGGATTGTGAGGATGGACAGGACCGGGCAGTGTTTTGTTCTGTTGTCCATAGAGTTGCTATGAGTAGGAGCTGATTCAATGGCATGTAACAACAACAGAGGCTCTACCTATGCTCTCTAAATTTAGGAAATGAACAGATTATTAAAATAAAGTTGGAAAAATTGCTGGGGCCCAAATTTATCCTGGACAAAAACAAAAACTCATTGCTGTCGAGTCGATTCTTACTCATAGCGACCCCCACTGGGTCTCCAAGGCTGTAAATCTTTATGGAAGTAGATTGCTTCATCTTCCTTCTGTGGAGCGGATGGTGGGTTTGAACCACTGACCTTCTGCAAAAGTGAAGGTTAAATGCCACAGAGGAGGAGCAGTGTGTGCCCTCTCTTGGGGTATTAAACTGGAACTGGCACTGATAGTGTTTGAAGATTTTGCTGTAGTTTAATATTTTATAAATGGTATTTCCTGTCACAAAGCTGAACTAAGTATACTTCATGTGTTTGTGACTAAATATCATGGGCTGCAGAACATATGTACTAATAATATGGTTCACAGGCCTGTGGACGTTTCTGTGACCTCAGATGAGGATATATACTATGCAGACGTTTTCGCATCACTGAGGATTTGATGTCATTTTATGATTACTTTTGATTTCAAACATTTAGTTTGCCCTTTAGAAGGAAAAACTCCACAGGAATGATCTTTTAAGTACTTTGACAGCAAATCTTTAAGAAAATTCTTCATGGATGCCCTTTTGCACTCTGGGCTGTCTCTAATTTGGGTTTTGTTCCAGAATTTACACTGTGGAGTATCAGTGAGGGTCAGTGGACTGCAGGCCTCTAGTGGTGCAAAACTGTACTGGAGGCTTTGCGCAGTCACCACTGGTTTCAAACAATGTTACTTGTTGAGGAGGCTGGCATTGAGGACAGACTAAGAATTCCTTATTTGGAGAACAGCCAATGAAACCACACAGATACTGACATTAAGACATTCTTTCTCTAGATTATGCAGCATTGTTACAGAGCAAGAAAGGCAAAAGCATAAAGGACAAATTCAGCCTCATACGGGGGCGATTCCCGGAGAAGGCTAGGCTGGGTCTGGGGCTTCAGATATAGCGTAAGACTTGGGTAGGAGCAATTCTGTTGGGGCTGATACCAAAAGGCTACTGATAGGTGTTGGTAGTGTTTCCCTGAGCTCTGCTGAACCCTCAGCAGCATCAGTGTGCCCCCAACATCGGGTAGAATGGAGAAGCCAGACACTAGGGATCATCTCGGGAGGGTGCTGTTCTTCACAGACCCACATTGAAGTTGGAACAAAGTCTTCAGCTGCAAGCGACCTGGACTGCTGATTCAACAACAAAATGCATCTAATCTGATTTTGACAAACAATCCGCAAGACAAGGTAGAGCTTCATTTTTACGTTTTATTTGACTGGTTTCTGAAGAAAAGCAAAGGAAACAGCAAAGTATAGCAGAAGACCATTGAGAAGAGATGAGTGGGGATAGCATTAAAGGAAGGGCTTCGTAAGGAGTTACAAAGAGTTTAGGGAACAGTACGTCAAGATTGAAGAGAGGATGGCACTTGAATATATTTGTTAGATGGCAATTCTAAGAACTTTTTCATCACTAATGGGAGGATGGCCAGTTGTAGGGACAGGAAATGGGGCAGGGTGAGTTATGAAAGCCATTCTCAGAATTGGATCCAAATTGATACCAAGCTGTTGTTTTTGAGCAGCCTTGAGGAAAATTGTCTTGTTTCCCACAGCCTGATGTCCAAGGGGCAGATACGTGTGGAGGGCTTCCTGGAGAAATAGGCTTTTCCTGGTAAGAGAGCAGCATCCTTCCGGTTTGTTCTTTGCATAGATTTTTGCACTCAGGTTAGGAAATTTTTTGCAAGGTTTGCTTTTAAACAGTTCAAGGGGGCATTTACAAAGCAATGGGATTGATTTCTTTGTCTGGCTGATGGGAATCACTTTATTGGTTTCATAATAAGAAAAAACTCTGAAGAAACCAGCATCGCTATTCTAATTTTGAAGCTATCAGGGTCAAACTGATGAAACAAAACATTTTGTAGAGATTAGAATAGGATTCAGTCTGAAACGGAATTATTTCTTCTCTTGGTCTTTCTTTTAAATAAGCCCAACAAAAGTAAATATTTTTATGATCTCTTACTCTGTGTGAGGAGTTATTTTGGCTAGATTCCTTCTGAAGAGCACAGGGTGGGGATGGGTCAAGAAATATTGCTGCTAATTTCCTGCTTCTCAGTCTCCTGGTGCCCTCCATTGAAACACTGCTTCTCCGCTCCAAGGGGAAAGTGCTTTGTGACAACTCTAGCCTAATGGGCAGTGACAGTGAAAGCCATCCAGAGAGAGCCAGCGAGCCTGGGCTGCTGTTCCTCTGTGTGTTTTTGTGCCCTCAGGAATGTGTGAATGTAGCAAATGACAACACTGAGGGCCCTGTCCCCAGCGGCGCCCCAGGCCCTCTCTCTTTGTGTTGGCTCTTTTCCAAGCTTGAATGATTGCATTTGCTGAACATTCATTATCCAACAGGGGTGGCAAGAAGGCAGGCTGGAGAGAGAGAAACAAGCCTTTCCCGTGGGTGTTATTCCAGCAGGTTATGAGTTTTTGCATCAGTAGATCTCATGGAGTTTTACTTTCTGTCAGTTTGGAAGTTTGGTTAAGGATTCTAGCACTACGGCTCATATGTCTTTGTTTTTTTCTTTTTCTTTTTTTTCCTATTTCTTTTTCTTTCTTTTTTTTTTTTTCAATTGTGATTTGGGTGAAAGTTTACAGAGCAAATTCACTTTCCATACAGCAGTTCACATACACTTTGTCTCATGACATTGACTACAATTTATTCCAACAACAGCTCCCCTCCCACTTCCTCCTGATAGTTACCTCTTCCCTGTGTCCATCCTTCCATGCACTCCTGCCCCCTGAGCTGTCTCCCTGTGCATAAACAGCCCTTCTTTTTCCCATGATTGTTCTCTCCAAGGAATGTATCTACCTCAGGTAAATGTTCAACTCATATGTCTGTCTTTTGTTTGGCTGTAAACCACAGGTGTGGGTTCAATTCCAGACCTGAAGGGCAGCTAGGGGCCATAGTCTCAGTGGTCCCACCAGGCTCTATCAGACCAGCAAACCTGGTCCCCCCGCCTTTTTTTTTCCCAAATTATTTTGAGTTTCGTTCCACATTGTTCTCCCTCTCTATCCAGGATCTCTTACATAAATCCCCCCTCCAAGTGGTTGACAATGGTAGCCAGGCACCATCTAGTTCTTCTGGTCTCATAGTCATATAGGCTGCAGATCGCATGGTGTACCAGTCACTAGGACTAATTGTTTCCATGAATCTTTCTTTAGTTTTCTTCATTCTTCTTTGCTCTGGATGAGGAGAGACCCCTTGTTGCATCTAGATAGCTGCTTGCAAGCTTTTAAGATCCCAGTCATTACTCGCCAAAGTAGAAGGTAGAACAGTATTTTTTATAGTATGTTATGCCAGTTGAGCTTGATGTCCCCTGTGACTATGGTCTCAAAGGCTCATATATCTTAGTGGTAACACAGTTTCTTCTTCTGAAAAAGATCTCAGTTGGACGTCAAGCTTCACAGAATAGGTTTTAGAGTTGGAAAGGACCTCAGAGATCATCCTAGTCTAATCACGTGTTTGCAGAGGTGGAACTGAAGTCTGTGAGGCTGTGCATTCAGCTGGTGGTGGCAGAGCAGTAGTCAGCATTCCAGTTAACCAGCCCCCAGGTCAGTGCTGTGGTCCCTTAGCTCATTGCCTCTGGTGTAATTAGAGTAACTCAGTAATATGTTGTGTTAGCTTGTGCTGAAGTGATTTGTGTTCAAATCCTGGTTCTTTCTATACCTAGAGAAATGAAAACACATGTCCAAACAAAGGCTTGTACACAAATATTTATTGCTGCTCTGTTTGCGATAGTCCAACAGTAGGATCAATCCAAATGTTCATCTACTGAAGAATGGATAAACAAAATGCTCTATATCCATGCAAGAGGCTATATATAATTCAGCCATAAGAAGGAATGAAGTACTGATACATGCTGCAACCTGTATGAACCTCAAAAAAACTGCTAAGTGAAAGAAGCCTATCACAAAAGGCCACATATTTTACAGTTCCATTATTATTTTAATATTCAGAATAAGTAATTTATAGAGAGGTTCATATCCACCAGCCTCTCGTTGGAAGGAAGACTGGGCAGCCTACTTCCTGTAGAGATAATGCCTCGGAAACCCAAGGAGGGGTCGCTATGAGTCAGGATCAACTCCATGGAAGTGAGTTTTTTTTAGAGTTAGATAGTAGATTAGTGGTTGACAGGGCCTGGAGGGAAGAGGGAATGGGGAGTAACTGCTAATTGGTATTGGTTTTCTTTTTGGGGTGATGATGTTCTGGAATTAGATGATGGTGATGATTGCACAACTCTGTGAGTATACTCAAAACCACTGAATTGTGCCCTTTAAAAGGATGAAATTTTTTGGTATGTGAATTACATTTCAATAAAGTTGTTATAAAAAGTCTTGTTTGTACCTCTTACCAGCTGGGTAACTTTAGTCATTGACCCTAAACCCAAGTAATCTCAATTGAGAACTGAGTATAATAAATCACACCTCACAGTGTCATTTTGATAATTGAGGTCATGAATTTGAAAATGTTTCTAAATGATAAACCTCACATATATTTTGGGCTGCCATTGGGTTATAAAGTCATCATAAATTGTTTTTTTTCTTCTCTTTCTGTATTTTCCACAACCCTGAGAAGATCTGGTTACATAGTAACCACTCAAAGACTCACTGGTTCCAATCAAAAGTGCTACAGCTTTTAAAAATTTCTTTGAATCTAGTTAATCTGTAAATCTGGGTGCTTTTACATCTGATTATCTCTCAGATCTGAAGACCCTTAGTAACTTGAGTTCTTTACCTCATTTTTATCCTGTTTTATCTTTCTCCTTTAATAGAGACAACATATCTGATCCATTGACAAGACCACATACAATCTGCCTCCAAAGATGTGCTCCACAAACCCAGGCAACTGGGTCACATTTGATGATGATACTGCTTTACAGTCTTCTCAAAAGTCAAAGAATTTTCCTCTGGAGAATCAAGGCATCTGTAGACCTAAAGGACTTAAGCTGAACCTTTCTGGCTTCAGGGAATTTTCTAGTGGCTCTTCCTCCACCGGAAGCACTCCTCTCCCTTCTCCCATCATAGACTTTTACCTCAGTCCAGGACCTCCAAGTAACTCCCCTCTTTCTACACCTATCAAAGACTCTCCAGGTTTTCCTGGAATCCCCAAAGCAGGGATTCATGCGCTTTATCCTCATCCAGAATTATCTTCAAACAGTCAACTTACAACACAAGGACCAGGTTCCTCTTTATTACCTTCTAAACCAGCCTGTTTATCCTGTGCTTCCTTGCCCAGTGACCACTTGTGTGCACGTCCAGCCCCCAAAATGGGTCTTCCGGAAGAAACTAGCCCTCACCAGGCTGAAAGCCTGCAATTCGAAAATAACACTTCACAGTTTCAGTATTTTCAGGATGACTGTGCCTTTTCAAGTCCATTTTGGAAAGATGAAGGCAGTACATCTGAGTTGACCTTTGACCCCCCAGGAAGTAGAAAGGCATTTCCATCCAGAGACAAGGAAATGCCCATTGATCAAAAAAGCCTAAATCTGTGTTCACTCAATTATATCTGTGAGAAGCTTGAACACCTCCAATCAGCTGAGAATCAAGACTCATTTGGAAATTTGTCTATGCAGTGTCTACATGGCAAAGACACTGCCTCTTCCTTTGTTCCCCATACACTCTTCAGGAATCAGCCAAAAGCTGGGTGGTCCTTCATGCTGAGAATTCCTGAGAAGAAGAACATGATGTCATCCCGGCAGTGGGGACCAATCTTTCTGAAAGTCTTACCTGGAGGAATTTTGCAAATGTATTATGAGAAGGGATTAGAGAAACCATTTAAAGAGTTACAACTTGATCCACATTGCAGGCTTTCTGAACCCAAAGTTGAGAACTTTAGTGTGACGGGGAAAATCCATACTGTGAAGATTGAGCATGTGTCTTACACAGAAAAAAGGAAGTACCATTCCAAGACAGAAGTAGTACATGAACCAGATGTAGAACAGATGCTGAAGTTGGGGTCCACAGAGTACCATGACTTCCTTGACTTTCTGACTTCTGTGGATGAGGAGCTAATGAAACTGCCAGCTGTTTCAAAACCAAAAAGAAACTATGAGGAACAAGAAATTTCTCTGGAAATTACAGACAACTTTTGGGGTAAAGTCACTAAAGAAGGAAAATTGGTTGAAAGTGCGGTGATAACTCAAATCTGTTGCCTCTGCTTTGTGAATGGGAATACTGAATGCTTTTTAACCTTGAACGACCTTGAGCTGCAGAAGCGAGATGACCGCTATTTTGAAAAGGATCCAGGAAAGAAGGGGATTGATATCCTTGACTATTACTTTCATAAATGTGTGAAAGCACAAGAGTTTGAGCAATCAAGAATCATTAAGTTTGTACCTCTAGATGCCTGCCGGTTTGAGCTGATGCGTTTCAAGACCTTGTATCCTGGGGAAGAGCTTCCCTTTTCTGTGAAGTCTGTAGTGGTTGTCCAGGGAGCATATGTGGAGCTCCAGTCCTTTGTCAACATGGCCCCATTGGCTCAGAGACCATCCCAAGCTGGTTCCTTGAGGTCCTGTGACAACATAATGATACACTTTCCTGTCCCATCACAGTGGATCAAAACCCTGTGGACCATGAACCTCCAGAGGCAGAAGTCTCTGAAAGCCAAAATGAACCGCCGGGCATGTCTAGGGAGTTTACAGGAACCTGAGGCAGAACCTGTCATACAGGTCACTGTTGGGTCAGCAAAATATGAGAGTGCCTACCGGGCTGTGGTGTGGAAGATAGACCGGCTTCCTGACAAAAATTCAAGTAAATATTCAGTACCCTAAGTTGACTTTTATGTGAAATAGTGTAAATATTTTCACTGTTCTCTGGGGGTTGAAACCTGGCTGAATGGATGCTCACTGCAGTCAGTTGAGGCCACGCTTAGCACTCAGTGTAGCAGAGCTGGGTCAGAGGTGATAGTATAGTCCAACAGCTTAATTTTTCTTCCTGTGGCTATTTCATCTACATAAATTCAACTTTTTTTTTTTTTTTTTTTTAATAATAAGAAATAGCATACTAGGCTAGGATTTGGTTGTGGATAGTAGGAGCTCTGGTAGCATAGTAACTAAGGCACTTGACTGCTAACCAGAAGGCTGGTGGTTCAAACCCACCAGCTACTCCTCGGGAGGAAGGTTGGGCAATCTGCTTCCGTAGTGATACTGCCTTGGAAACCCAAGGAGGGGTCGCTATGAGTCAGGTCCAACTTGAGGGCATATAATAACAACAACAACAGTGGCACTGAGGGAAAATTTGTAGACATGTCTGGTTGGGCCTCTTGAAATCAACCTCAATTATTAAAATTGTTGGTAACATATCTTAGATTCACTTATTATCCTTTTAATATCTGTCATTTATGAGTGTGCCTGGAATTTTCTTATTTTGTAATTTCAACCAGTACCATCCTCCTTAGGTTTTGCTCCCTGCTCTTTGAAACGAGATAAAATAAGATAACTTTTCATTTTTACCAAAGTTGATTTCTCTGGCTGAATTAATGCATTGGGCTCTCTCAACAGGTTGTTTTAGAATTAGGTGCACACAGTGTAATTGTTTTGGGGAAAATCAGTTAATCATTGATTTTGTAGTGCAAATTATTTATCTAGAAGTTTAGTACTTTGAAAAGACAGTCCTAGAACCACATTTATTTTAGGACAGCAAGTTAGTAGTGGGTGTAATATAATAGAGTGAAAAAGCAAAATTTGAAACTAAGACTCTATCCTGTTCCAATTGAATTATTTCTAGCAGAACACTAGGAAATAGAGCTAAATTGGGGGCAGGTTTTTGGGATCTAAATTGATGAATTCATTCATCAACTAAACCTTTATTGAGTACTTAGTGTGTACCAGATTAGGGATAAAGATGAATAAGATTTGACTCCTGCTTCCAAATAGGTCACAGCCTGCTTTAAATATCCCTGTGGGGAAATTTAAGCTCATCCCAGGGCCCTCCAAGCTGTGAACTTCAGAGAGGCATTTTTGTTTCCCTATAGCAGCATTTCTTAAACGTGACTGCATAGTAGAATAGCCTGAGAGCTTTTAAATAATATTGGTGTTTGAGCTTCATTCCATGCCAGTTAAATCAGAATTTCTGGGATTAGGGTCCGGGCATCAGTAATTTTTAAAAGCTCCCAGGGGAATCTAATGTATGGCCAGGGTTGAGGAGCATTGACCCTTAGTGAGGGACACAATGGATTCATCCTACTGGCTGATCCAGAGGGAATCAGAGGGATGGGGTTGTGGGCTCCCAAAGTGCTGGGTCCTGCTGCTCCACCTCCAGGAGGCCCTGGCTGGTCCTGGCCAGGGAAGCTAAGCTTATTTTCCAATCTGAGAATCTTTACTAATTATTCCTAGAATTTCTAATTTTGGAAAATTAAAGCTTCTTGTGAAAATGATCCTGCTTATAATACTCCATTTGCTCAGAGTTAATGATGTAGTTAATTGATTTGATCACCAGGAATTTATTGAGAAGAGGGCTCAACTCATTCATTCATTCAACAAAGTCCTACTTGGTTTCTTTTAGGTGCAGGCTCTGTGCTAGGTGCTTAGAAGATAGAGATACAAACACGATCCCCACTCTCTAGAAACTTAACATCCTAACAGGGGACAGGCAAAGAAGCAGGTATCCAGATGTATCGTGAAAATGTGCTTTATTTCAGCATGTACAAACATACACCATCAGGATCTCAGAGAAACTGCCTGGAGGTGTTAGGGAAGGCTGTACTGGAGAGGTGAAGAATGGTCTGAAAGAAAGGATGCCATCAAGATAGGAGCACAGGCATGTAGGTAGGAGTGGGAGGGGTCTTACTCAGTTTTGAGGACTGTGGTATGGTGGGAGAGGGGCTGGCATACTAAAGACTTTCGGAACCATGCCATAGGTGCAGGCTGTATCTGTGCCCAACAAGGCCTCAGTCAGGTCTTTAGGCACGGCTCTGACAGAATCATAACCTTGCTTTTGAACAGCCTGCATGAGGAGAGATTGAGAAGCAGATTGTAGATACAGGAGGCTGTAGGAGATAAGAGATGCTGAGTGAGGACAGTAGCAGTGAGAGCACTGAGAAGAGGAGATGGACAGAGAGCAAGAGCACTCAGAGGAGGTGCCCCCGACACGATGGCAGATGGTGGATATTGGGGAGAGGAAGAGGGTGGGAGAATGTTAGGGTCACTGGCTCAGGTCAATATGTTGGCAATGATGCCATTAGCATTGATGGCCTGGGATACTCTCATCACATCCTTTTAAAATCTAAGTCAGTGTTTTTCAAACCTGGCTGCACATTAGAGTCATGTAATGTTGTTGTTAGCTGCTGTCCAGTTGGCCCACAACTCATGGTGACCCTGTGCACAACAGAATCAGACTGTTGGTGCTCCTTAGGGTTTTCTTTTCCTTTATTATTTTATTTTTTTAATTTTTTATTTATT